GCATAGGTAGCATTTTGAACTCATACAAGCAGAGAGACTCAAATGCCTATAGTAAGAGTTCGTGCCATCAATCTAGAAGGACAAAAAGTACAATATGATGCTAAAATTCGCTACCCTTTCTCACATTCAATTGGGAAGGAGAAAATACTCTATTGCTACTGTTACTATTGTTAGTAATCCAAGCGTATTGACACGTCGATCTTCACGAAAAGGRGGGGAGAATCAACGTGTTCTCTTTGTTCCTTATAGCGTGTTTTGTTGGGCGCATTTGAAACGAAAAAGTAGTGTTGGGAGGCGTTATATCGTCCTCCAAAAATCCTGCAATTGGTGGAATGWATGGTAGAGCGGCCGAGAATGCTGATCTTTCTCTGTCTTTCAAAGAGTCGTTGGTGTGAACAGAAGCAACAAAAGAATCGGGTACTTGTCTACGGATTGAAATCTGSCCTGTGGTGTCATGAGCCGTTATAGACGTGAACGATGGGGTARTGACCTCAGTGAACGAATGATGGTTTTCCAAAKGATTKGAAAGAGGGGGCATAGAATTCAGGCGCCCGTTAAGTTCCTCAATTGTATCATCGATCTGTTGTGATCGKGATAAAGGGAATGTCGTTGAAAAGTTTGATATTGAAGAGCTGGAAGATGAAAGGGGTGATAGTGRTTTGACTAGCTCTCTTGTTCTAAAGATTTCATTTGGATCGTTAGAATCGCTGCAGATATAGTTTCCTTGATGATTTTCTGGGCAGGCAGTCAAAGGAGGAGATGTGTAAAGCGTTTCGATCTGACGATGCAAATCCAATATCTCTGTCAGAGTACTCCATTGTGAAATAAAGAGATGCAAAGAACACGATCTACTAATTCTTGTTATATATTTACCTGTTTGTCAACGACTTGAGTTATTTTTCCTTGGGTACTTTCAATACTACCCTCGTCAAAAGCAGGAATAAAGAGCTCTGGCGTAATTGATCGAGTAATAATCTGAGCCGGGATAGAAGTGATTGAATGGCGCTCACCACTGTGTGTACGTTTCTTCAGAGCGATTACCGGCGGCGAAAATAGTTCCCGCTCGACGATTTCGAATTCACCGCATGCATTATCGGTTACATGTACTTCATGTCGATGAATGTTCATTTTGATTTGGGAGCTRGTTCAAGCTGACAGTTAAAACGTTTCGACGATTAATGGTGGTGCAACAAAGAGTTCTGTCGGTGTTACGCTACACTACGAGAAGTTATTCGGTGATATTGTGACGATATTTGGGAATTCGTTTTGTAAAAAACTTGCATAAAATCGCTCAAATCTAATTTAAAGTACGGAGTAGCAATACTTCGTAGAACTAATAGGGTACGGTACGTATGGGTATTTGACACCCTTCATGTGCTCTCCGAAAACCCGAAATAAAAGACGTACATTTACGTCAGCACCGCAAAACTGGTTCAACGCAATTTATAATAGCCTATTTGGTAGTGAGAACTGATAAAATCATGTTTATGGCGAAATATAATAGCGTCGCCAAATTTTGACACGAGGTTCGTATAATCTGACACTTTGACATCAGAGTGAATGTGTTGACGTCTGATCGTTCTGTTCATTTGTGTAGGATTCTTGCGCAAAGAAAGAGCGAAGCAATTCTTCAATCGCAGAACGAAAACCATATGTTTGCCGTCTGACCAGAAACGATTTTGTATTCGCCAGTTTTTTTATAGCCCGGCACAAATTCATCGTAAGTTTTCGCACAGAACCCTAACTTCCACACCCATGTGACACCCTTTCTGATCTCTCTTGTTTTTTGCGAACCCTCTTTGTAAAAGATTTGATTAGTTCGAGTAACTCACCAGCAACAAGAACAAGTTCTCGTATGTACAGATCTCACTCTCTGGCAAGTTCATTAAAAACTATGATGATAATTGCAATAATTGCAGCTTGACAGTTGGAAAATACTGATTCTTGTTTGTGTAGTAGACCTGGTTGAAGAATGGGACATATGCATACTACTAGTAGTAAAACTACTACTAGTACCTCTACCAGTAGTACTAGTAGCAGTAGTACTATTATGTAGTGTATTACTAGTACTAGTACTAGTAGTAGTACTACTAGTAGTATTCTTGGTGGTGTAAATTGTTTTTCTTGTTGTTCTTGTTACAGCAGCTCTACATACTGCTGCTTCGCCTCCTTGTCCTTGCATTGCTTGTTTTTGTCATTTGCTGGCTGCTTTTTCTGTTGTCCTGGTGCTTATCACTTCAAAAAACTACCCAGATTGTGCAACTGCTCCACAGCACTACTAACAATTTGAGTGTGTGCTTCTTTCTCTTTCAATCTGTCATCTTTAGATTGTGACTAAGGAGGATCACAGTCCACTTCATAATACTAGTTCCTCAGTGGCTACTAGTAGTACTGCTACTACTACTAGTAGTAGAAACTTTGAGTTGAATATAGTACTACTAATTCTTTTTGAACTGTTCTTCTTAGTACTACCACTATTATTACTACACTACTACTAGTGCACGAGATTACGTGTACTCTAGTAGGTGTTAAGTGTGTATGAAAATTGAAATTATAAGATTAAGATTATTGAGCGCGTTCACGAGAATTCCGAAGTT